ACACACACGCGCGCGCGCGCACGCACATGCACGCACGGACGCACACACACACACACACACACACACACACACACACACACACACACGCACACACACACGCGCGCGCACACACACGCACACACACGCACACGCACACACACGCGCACACACACACACACACAAACACGCACGCACGCGCGCGCGCACACACGCGCACACGCACACGCACACGCACACACACACACGTTTGATTATTTTAGTCTGCGGTTAATTAAGCGTAACTGTTTTTCTCCTATATGAAATATGCAGACATGGAAATCTGGGGGCGGGGGCGGGCTTTCCCCGTTAGAGAATATAACCCTCAACGTTGTTTTCATGGCCGAGGCGTGGGAAGAAAAAAAAGGGACCGCCACTAAATTACAGTTTAAGTAATGTAAAAAGTAAATTTTTGAAAAGTAAGTTAATGTGAGTAGTTATGTGGTGTGAATATTTATGTCTATAAATGCCATCAGTAATTAATGGAACAAAATTACCTACATGTCTTCAAATGCAGACGTAATTTTTTTCTTGTACACGTTAAAAGAATGACATTACTCAAATACATCACGAACTTTAACTCCCCTTCACTAACTCAAGCTACGCCCTGGTTGTTCATTTACGTGTCAGTATAGAGAGAAATGTTAACGCGTTCCTACACTTCATTACACGTCACCTTCACAACATGAGTTAGTAAGGCTCATAGGGTCTATGTCCCCTAGGGTACTGCCGGAACGTACCCTGGGTGCGGTCCGGTATACCGGAACGTACCCTGGTAACTATCTGATATGGTTAGGGTTAGGGTTAGGGTTAGGGGTAGGGAGTAGGCGTAGGCGACTCCCTAGACTCGTTAGTGGAGTAGGCGAGGTACGGTCCGGCATATTAGATAGTACCAGAGTACGTTCCGGCAGTACCCTGGGGGACATAGACCCTCTCAGCGTTAGTAAGTCGAGAAAATCACGTGATGAAAATGGCTTCATTTTATACAGTACACTCTAATTTAAAAGTCCGGAGATAAAATACTTATGCAGACGCACGCACACGGTCTAAAGAAAGCCAACACGTAAGAAAGCACGAACACGAACACGAACACACACAAACACACACACACACACACACACACACACACACACACATGCGCATAAAAAACGCACTATTTCGCAGATGCGCGCACACGCACGCAGGCTCATGCAACACACACAAATATACAAAGGCACGCAGCCACACACTTGCAAACGCACACACACACAAACGCGCGCATACGCACACGCACACGCACGCGCACACATGTACGAACGCGCACACAAGCACAGGTGTACATACAGACACATGTACGGACGAGCACGCATGCACGTACGCACGCACTCACACCCCTGCTTACGTACGTGCGCACGCAGTTATAAACGTGAATAATCAACAGATAGTTTTGATCTTGTTCAGTCTGCGGTTAGCTAGGCGTACTGTTCATAATCTTCATATGTGTCTCTTATATGAGATTTGCAGACAGGGGAAAGCAGCAGTATTTGAGGGGCGAGCTTCCCCCGGTAGAGACCATGACCAGAGACCATTGTCATGACCATGACCTCGGGGGGGGGGTAGAAGAAAGTGACTACTGCCCCTAAATTTTGGATGATAAAACTATATATACATACTATTAAATGCATATAGAAAAATGGTGAAAGTTGATGCAAGTAAATTCGTGTAAATGTAAATATAAATACCGATAAATACCAGTACTATAATAGAGGAAAATTAACCCTTCCGCTTAATTCATGCCTACATGCGTTTATTTTATTGAACCAGCTAAATGTATTACCTTATCACACGAAAATTTGCTTCCCTTCAATAATTTGTTCAAGTTACGCCCCCTGGTTATTCACTTATATGTCAGTGTACAAGGTCATGTTAACTCGTTTCTCCTCCCCTCACCCCCACAAGTTCAGGTCACGGAAGGACCTGCTAAGGAAACAATCAGTGAGGTCGCTCTGCTTTGATTTAATAGTCAGGATTCACGAGAGAAAGCCAAAGCAATTTTAACTTTGGCTAAATAATTTTTCAACCAACAAAAATTAGTCGAAAAATGTATTATTCACCACCTCCCTGCTATATTATTAGACCCCACCTGTGACGCCTTTCCACTTTAACTGCTGCCCCCGTCCTTACCCACCGACGTTCATTATTCAAAGCATTCACTTCACATGTAAAATCATAGCAATAATGTATGTCAGTCCTCTTTTTAGAGGAAAATTCATTACGATATACCTTACATATATAACATCGAGTTGATTTTTACATTTGATTATTTGTTATTGTTTATTGTTCGGCACACAGTGGAATATATTGATCTTAACTCGTATCCGATCTCCCTTTTCTTCTAGAAACACGCGGCTGACAGACGCACCTTCTACAACGTGCTAGTCTTCACTACGATCGTGGCGCCCCCATGCGGACCTTCATCGACAACAGCAATGACTTGTCCATTATGTTATACGCGATATAAGAAACTAGCTTACGTGTACTAAGTGAAGATTACTGTATGCTCTGTCGCATCTCCTAAACCTAAGTTCCATCTACTGCTCCTCAGTTCCATCAACTACATTTCAGTTTCATCGACTATCACTCAGTTTCATCATAGGGTTTCATCTACTACGTCTCAGTTTCATCCACTACCTCTCAGTTTCATCCACTACCCCTCAGTCTTATCTATTACCCATTAGTTTCATCCACTATCCCTCAGACTTTTCTATTACCCATTAGTTGCAACAGCAGGACCGTAGACCGAGCAAACTCTTCGGGGGGAGGGACGCAATATTTCATGACTTAGGTGTGTAATGATGACAGGTTCGTAGCGAACATTGCAGGAGGGGTGGGTCTTTTTCATCTGGTGGGCTTTTGGAGCCAGCCACTTGGCATGCAGAGGCGGATTTTTTTTAATGAGGGGGCACTGCGAAAAACGAGGTTGTGAAACTCCTGGTGGGTGGGGGGTCCAGCGGCTTTCCCGCGAATAACTGGGTTTAAAAAAATTTAATCCGGTGCAATTTGTCCTAAAAAATCGCGCCTGTTTTGAAGGAAAACACACAACAAAACATACTCGTATATTCTTTGTCCGGCTGCATCTCCCCTTAAATCCGTGCATAGTCTGTGATCGTGTCACAGAAACGACTACTTTTTAGTGACTACTTTCTAATTTCGTTAAAAATATTTCACTTTGGAATAAACTGTGTACAATAAGGTACAAACTAGGACACAAAATTGAATAAGTCATTACTTGCGAAAGGCATTTAACAGCATTTGCTTTGCTCCAGAATTTAGAGGCAGCTGCCTCTATGCCCCCAGAGGCTACAGTCCTGCTTCCCCCTTAGTTTCTCTCTTCTCTCATCTTGTAACTCTGTCTCATCTCCTATGCCTAAGTTTCATCTACTAGCTCTCAGTTTCATCTACTACCTCTCAGTTTCATCTACTACCTCTCAGTTTCATCTACTACCTTTCAGTTTCATCTACTACCTCTCAGTTTCATCTACTACCTCTCAGTTTCATCTACTACCTCTCAGTTTCATCTACTACTCCTCAGTTTCATCTACTACATCTCAGTTTCATCTGCTACTTCTCAGTTTCATCTATTACCTCTCAGTCTCATCTTCTACTTCTCAGTTTCATCTGCTACCTCTCAGTTTCATCTACTACCTCTCAGTTTTATCTACTACCTCTCAGTTTCATCTACTACCTCTCAGTTTCATCTGCTACCTCTCAGTTTTATCTACTATCTCTACCTTTATTTTACTTGCAACATACATTTGCAAATACAGTACACAATAAAATGAACATGAAACGAATCAATTTGCTTCCAAATCTACGACCATGGTCACCAGTGAATCACTTCACTAATGGCGAACGACTGTTACTGCAAATTACGTACTTGTGACGAAATATAGTTGAATTTGAGGCGAGTGAATTGGCTTTAACGTTAATGAATTGGTTTATAGCTACAAGTGTTAGTTATAAGCTAGTAAGTTAAGTGTTAACGTCTCGTAGGCGCCAAAGTCTCCGACGCGCGAAACTCGAACTAAACCGCGCAACCAAATTGTCCGCGCTGTTAACAACATATAGACACAAACACCTGAGTACATTGTACATGCGTACAACACGTAAGATTGTAGCTAGGTACATATATAACTGTTATATATCACACACGTATTTATATATATCCGTACACTGTATATACTCTTGTAGCTAGGACATGAATATTGTAATTGGAGTAGTAATTTGGAGGAGTACGGTTGCGCGTTACGCACGCCCTATGTATCGCGCTCGCCCCAGCGTCGACGACGTCATTTAACCTATGTGATTGTGCCAGGGTAAACCTGCGAGCCGGACACCCCAACCCTAACTCCCACGTTCTTGGGAGGGGGGAGGTGTGATTTCCCATGCTCTGACCAGCCAAGATGTTGCCTCACCCCCTGGCATCTTTGTCATTAAATATGCTAGTCGAATACTTCGAACATTGAACTACTGACGTCTAAAAACGAACTCGATAAAAAACTACTCTGGATTCAATTAACAACACACGGACACATTACAAGGCAGTTTCACATTAACGTAGTGCGTGGTTGCAATAACAGTCTTGGCTTCAACGATTTCATGCACTCGAGCCTCCTGTCAGCTTGATGTGTCTATGTCTGCACA